AAGTAAGTTCCCACTTCTACGTTGTGCACAGTAGTCAGCGTGCATCATAGTCTGGGTGACCTTGATTGACAAGCCCACCCACTCCAACTTCCTGACTTTGACCCCTGGGTCTCTCAGATCTCTTCTACCAATCTTTATAGACCTCTGATTTTCCTATTACATTTTTTTCTATTCCCCATCACTCCCACATCCAGCCTTAGTATCTTCCCACCCTCATCTTCACACCTGGATCTTCGATTCTGCTTTTGCTTCCTCTCCTCCTACACTGTCCCATCTTTATTCCATCTCTTTCTCTGATTTCTTCTCAGTCTAAGGAAAGGCACCAAACATGCATGTAGCACCCTTGCCTCCCAAATTATGAGGCATCACTATGAAAAACACCTACTGCATTACCGTGTCCTGTGCTCATCTCTTTCCTGGGGTTGAGCTTACAGGGTTAGGTTCAAAGTCAAACTCAGTCCCTATTTCAACTTCTCTGGGTTTTTTGTTTTGTTTTGTTTTGTTTTTTGGGTTTTTGTTTGTTTGTTTGTTTTTTCCTCTCACTCTTAAAATAATGTCTTACTTACTTCTTGGTTAGAGGCAGATTTAAAAATGTCCCACTTCACAGGAAGTATGTGAGGACTCTACAAGCTCCTGAAGTATTTTAACCACCTGCCTTGTTCTCAGGAAGTGTAAGTTCTTGAACACATGTGGCTATATGCGTCCATTATAAGCATGTAAGCTCATAATAAGCTCTCAGGATTTAAACTCCAGAAACAAATGATCTGGATCAACCACAGTAGCTCATGCTGAATTCCACCACTTAGCAAGCTGAAGCCACATGGGAAACCCAGGCAAGATTTCAGGCCCACCTTAAAAAACTCAGCATGTTGCTGTGAGCCTATAGATTTGGTTACTGGGGAGGTTTAAGATAAGAGGAATGCTCACAGAAATGAGAGCTACGATAAAAATAACACCAATACGACAAACTAGCACAAAGTATTTGCAATGTACCAAGTACTGACCTAAAAGCTTGACATCTATCAAATTGTTTAAATCTCAACACAGACAAAGTAAGGCACAGGTAGTTGTGTGACATGCTCAGCCTCGTGTAGCCAGTACATAATGGGCCTAAAATTAAACTTGGATTGGCTCTAGAGACCATGTTCTCAAAGTCTTAAGTCATCCTATGTCTATCAGCATTCATTGTAAAAGGCACAGCTCTTATTTCTCCCTTGAGCTCATGCTGCATTTTTGCATAGAAAAACAGAAAATACATCATGACTTTTCCAAAGACCCAATAAGTTGTAAGGCTTTAAAAATAAACTGAATAGATACCCACACCACCTCAGATGCTATACACTCAGAAAAGAATCTCCCAACTGTTCCCCCACCCATGTTCCGTTCTTGGCAGTGTATGACATCAACCACCTGAAAAACCTGCTGTCAGATCGGGTTTCTTGTTTCCCTTAACCTTTTGACACCCAGTTAGTCACCCTCAGCAGGGTCTAATTCTGTGATCTTTCCTTGTCCCAACCTTTCAGTTCACTAGGATCACAGACATGCATCCACCAGGCTTATATAGGTAGATCAATCATCCATATGGCTTTTGGCATTGCAGAGCATTGTACTGCCTCTGTGTTTCCATTGTACTGCCTCTATAGATTTCTATCCACTGCTCTTTATCCTTCCCTAGTTCAAGACTTTATCCTCTCTGGCCAAGAAAGTTCTTGAAATTTTATTGATAATTTGTATTGATAAGATTTCTTTTTAAAAAATAATTATTTAATTTTATTTATTCATTCATTTATTTTAATTTTACCTGAAAGAGATACACACAGAGAGAAAGAGAGGGAGGGAAAATAAGAAAGCAAATCACGAGGTCTGGTACCTGAACTGCAGTCAGCCATGTGGGAGTGTCAGTTCCTTAACCACCATGCCACTTGCTGGTCCCCTTGATAGGTTTTCACTTTTAAATAGTTGACGACTCTAAGTCAAATTCTCATTTTATCAAAATGTTAGTATCTTGCTCAGAATGACTGTGTGGAAACAATCCTGGAAGTTCAACAAACAAAACACATATTTCTAGTCTGTGTAATCTATGCTGGATATTACTAAGAGACAGGCTGTGAAGTTCTAGAATACAAATCTTGAATCCATGCTTGAGAATTCAGATAAGATTACAGCATTTTCCAAGTTCAAAGGAAACAGCCATTTACTCAGTATAAAAATTCAGAAAGAACTTTCCAAAAGTGACCTTTCAATAACAGATGTTCATAGATGTAATCAGTCTAAAAGCACATTTTAAAAAGGACATATTGGGGACCAGTGAATGACATAATGGTTACATCACTGGACTCCCATACAGTCGACCACAGTTCAAGTTCCAGACCTGGCAGCTTCAGACTCATGTTGGGTGTATGTCATGAGTGCCCAAGATCCCAAGAGGACAATGGAGGAGATGGGATTGCGGTGTGGCCATCCCCCCAGGGGCTGATTTCTGCTTTCAGTTTCTTTGACTCTGACAAACGCACGTGCCCCATAACAAAAATCTCTCTTAAAAAGAAAAAACAAAAGGAACATATCGTTTATTCCAGCTCACACATACATTCATAAAATCACCATAGAAAAATTCATGGTGAGAAAAAAATATGAACAAAGAGAAAAATATTTCTGTTTTTCCATTACAAAATGGAATAACTTTAAAAGAAGTGTTTCAAAATAAATATTATTAGGACCAGCAGTTGACGTAATGACTATGTCACTGGACTCCCATGTAGTCAACTGAAGTTCAAGTCCTGGACCTGGTGGCTTAAATTCATGCCAGGTGCATGTGCATGCGTACACAAGATCCTGAGAGAAGAATGGAGGAGAAGGGATCATGACATGGCCATCCCCCTGGAAGATGATTTCTCACTTTCTGTCTCTCTGTCTCTCTCTGTCTCTCTCTGTCTTTCTGGCGAGTGCAGGCATCCTATAGCAAAAACTTCTCCAAAAATAAATAAATAAATAATAAATATTACTATAGAAAGAGAAAATGAATTTATTCATACTAGGTAACCAACTGAATTAGAAGCATATCAAATTCGCTTTCACCTATAGCAATTATACTCAATAGTCATTGCAACATTTATCACTATGTTATGGTATGTCATAGGATTCTAAGCTTATGGTTATGTTTTCATGGAGCTTACCTAGGAGAGGAGTGGAAAAGGTTAGCTATGGCCCCAAAATTAGACTCCTCCATTATAAGGTAAAGTACATGGCATTAAATACCCTGACAGTCCTCAAACTTAGTCTATTCACAGAGCAGTATGTGTCTGTCCATTCTCTTCCCTTTTAGTAGGTTAGGCACTACCTGAAGATCACTATGATTTTACCAGTAGCCAATAAGCAAAATAATTTCAGAAATTTTTTTTTAAAGTTTTTGCTTTAGGGTACATATGCTGTCTGGAGAGAGAGCGAGAGAGTAAAAGGACAAGTGAGAAATCACCCACCAAAGGATAATCATGCTGCAATCCTTTCTTCTCCATTATCTTTCTGGAATCTTGAGCACACATGCATGTGTGCCCAGTGTGAGTTTCAAGCCAATGAGTCCGAGATCCAAACCATGGTCAGCCATGTGGGAGTTCAGTAATGTAATCACTACACCATCTGCTGGCACCCAGAAATGATCATTTTCAATTACTACTTTATTACTAAATCAAAGTCAGCATTTTGGAAATATTTCTCATCTTGCGAAGTTCTACTTTTCATTTTGTTCTACATACCCATATTGACTATAATTTTCCTGTTACTCAGCTTAGATTAGCATAGTATTAAATATATTAAAAATCCTACAATTAATTTTTATGAAGAGAGGCATATATGCCCATCCGAAGTTCATTGTCAAGAGCTTTATTTTAAAAATACCACTTCTCATGTTACCACCACTTAATAATATCCTTAAGTCATGTTTCATGATCTCTTAGGGGACATCTGCTTTCTTCTAATAATAATATGTTTACAATACATCTTTTAGCTGATATTATTCTCCTTCCAATTGATTTTTCACACTCCCCCCCCCCCACCCCCCCCACGCACACACACACGCCTCTTTGTAGTCCTAATCATGGCTTACCCTAAAAGCCATTAATGTATTCTAAGTAAACTAGTCCATATAGAGCATCCTTTTCAGATCATGATCAGATTTTCTTTTCATGGCCAACTTAAGAAAACATACCTTGGGCCGGCAGGTGGCATGGTGGTTAAAGACACTGGACTCCCACATGGCCGACCACAGTTCAAGTGCTGGACCTGCTGGTTTGCTTTCTCATTTTCTCTTTCACACTCTGTCCCTCTCTGGTCAAATTTAAAAATGAAAAAGAAAGAAAGAAGGAAAGAGAAAAAGAAAGAAGGAAGGAAAGAAAGAGAGAGAGAGGGAGAGAGAGAGAAAGAAAGAAAGAAAGTTAAATAAAATAATTCTTTAAAAAGAAAATATATCTTTGGCATAATTGAAGTAGACAATAAAGCATAAGCTGAGGAAAAGGACAAGTTAGTGTAGGAGTTCCCCAAATTGTGAATAGTGGTCATGAGAAAAATCTTTGCTCAAAAAAAAGTCAAAATGCTGAGACCAGTAGATGGTATAATAGTTATATAGTCAACCCATTTAGTCAACCGAGGTTCAAGTCCTGGACCTGGTGGCTGAAAACTCATTTTGGGAGCATGTACATGTGTGTTCAAGATTCTGAGAGGAGAATGGAGGAGAAGGGATTGCAACATGGCCATCCCCACTAGGGAGGTGATTTCTCACTTTCTATCTCTCTGTCTCTCTGATGAAGGCACATACCCTATAGCAAAAAAATCTCTTTAAAAATGAAGTCAAAATACTATTTTGACCATGGTTTTGATACATAATTTAAATGGAATATTTAAGTATGTAGATATTATCATTTTCTTAAAAAATAAACATAAAGTTTAAATATAAAGTCTATAGAATATAGAAAATTTAATAGGCACTAAACTTATATTTGAAATGGTTGTTTTATTTATTTGTTTGTTTTGAAGATATAGATGACTAGGAGTGCTGTCTCAGTTAGCGTTCAAACAGCACTCTTGGATGTTGGAGATGGCTCCCACAGAATAATTGGCTTTGAGGCAGCCATTGTGACACTATGACGGATGCTATGGAGGACAAGACATTCCTGGAAATGAGAGAAGATTTCTCTTTCCAGGTGGAAGGATGAGCACTGGACTTCATATGGGTATCTATACAAATACTTTCAGTAACACACACATTAATAGCATCAATATTTTCTATATCAACTGTCTCATTGTAAGTGCTGTTGGTATAATAGCTGCAATCAAATTTTTCAGAAAATTCCTTCAGGTCTTCAATTGTGGGTTTTCCTTGTATTATGAACTTTCTATCATCCCCAAGTTGAATATCAAAATTCTCTGGGTTCAGATGAAGATAGTCACTTGAATTCCAGTCTTTCCTTACACACACTCCTTGGTCTTGGCAAAGTACTTGGCTACACAGTTTGGCTGCTAAGGTGATATTGATTATGTAAGGATTCAGTGTCACCGCCAGGTACTTGTCTAGAATCAGGCATGATTTCTGTAGAATTACAAGAGGGTCAGAATATCAAAGGACAAGTTAGTTCACATGTGAATTAATTCACTACCATAAGCAACTTTAAAAAAATTTGTTTAATTGTATTTATTATTATTATTATTATTAGTCTGCTACAAGGCTCATGTGCTCACCAGAGAGAGACAGATAGAGAGACAGAAAGTAAGAAAGCAAGCCACAAGGTCTGGGACTCAAACCATGGTCAGCCATGTGGGAGTCCAATGCCTCAACCTCCATACCATCTGCTGGTCCCAGCAACTTTTAACAAGAATGAAAAAAAAAATTAGATACAACAGGAGATAATAATTTTTTTATGTTAACAAGATTCTTACAAATGTTATTTATAACATTTGTAAGTTTCACATGCCACTTTATGACACTGAATCATTAGTGAGGCTGATAGTTCAACTTCTCTTGTATAACCTTTCCTTGCTCTTATACAATCTTCCCCCATCTGCTCTACCACTGGCATAGAAGTTGTTTCACCCGTATGAATAGCCGATAGCAAACTACACTTGCTGTTCCCTCTGCATGGAGAACTCTTTCCAAGAGAAAGAGTTGGTGTTCTGGCTTCATCTGTCTTCTGTCACTCAAGTGGCAGCTTTCATTACACAACAGTCTTCTTGGATACCTCTCTGGCCAGCTCTCTCATATCTCTCTATTTTGATTGTATGCATTACAGATGATTATTGTATCAAATATTTTTCTTGTTTGTACATTTTTTTTTCCAAGCAATTATAAGCTCCGAGGGTACATGGACTTTTTCAATATTCTTCAATGCTATATTTCCAGTGCGAAGGATATACGAGAATATATACCATTAGATGACACTGCAGTTGCTTCTTCAAGTCTACAGAGTAAAAGTTTAGACTAGAAGAAGAGCAAAGAGATGAGAAAAATTTGAGAATATTTGCCTGTATATGATGTAATTGGGCCAGCTGATGGCATGGTGGTTAAGGCAGCTAGATCCCATATGGTCTACTGTCCGGTTTAGGTCTTAGACCCAGCAGTTTGAAAAAGATGCCAGGTGCACGTCAGTGCATGCCCAAAACCCTGAAAGGAAAAGTGGAGATGAGATTATAGCATGACAATCCCTCACGAGAGGTGCTTTCTCACTTTTCCTCTCTCGCTATCTCTCTGCAGAACTGCTCCTATATGAACAGTACTGAGGAGGCTGTGAGAGACATGTAGTAGAATGAAAAAATACAATTAAACTGCCACTAAAACCCAAGCATGACACTTAACTAATATGTGACCTCACTCTTCTCACTGGGGAATGTCTGATTCATTCTTCCTCAGGTTAAGGGTGGAATTCTTAGCCCATTTATTTTTTTAAGAAAATAGTTTGAAGAGTTCATAAATCATTTCATTACAGAAGTAATAGGAACCTTGAGAAAAGAGTTTAAGGGTTTGGGGAAATGACTAAAGAAAAGTAGCAATGTTCTTAGAATTATAATTTTTAAATAATTTTCTGATGCATAAAAGATTTTACCAAGTAACAAATGCCCTTTTCTGAATTTATCTTTATCCTTACTTCTTTTTTCTTGAGGATAAAACTAGAAACAGTGAATTTATACAAACTGGAAAGGGGACTCAGACTATCATGAAATAATTTTAAAAATGTGACTACCACCAAGTATTTTTTTATTTATTCTTTATTTACATTTAATTACCATATAACTTTACAGTGTACAACATGGTTTTTCCCAGCATGAATACAGTACATATTAGTCAAGTCAAAGACATTACCATATACATTCTCATCAACAAATAACTTTTCATTTTCATGTCTACTAAATATTTTTAAATGAAGCAAAAAACATGGTTATGCTATATGAGGACAAGAGAAATACAACCCTCAAAAGGTGTCTCTGGTCTTAGAGTATAAAGTCTATTTTCTACAGGTCCTAGACTATGAACATTATTTTATTTTCTCTCTGGTACATTCAACACTAGCATTTCCACATCCATTAGAGAAGGGAAAGTTCAGTTCCAATTCAACAGTGTCTATATAGCTGTTTTACTATTGCGCAGACCCAAAAGGATTGAAGAGGTGAGGGATCGAGGCCCGATATGGAGAATTAAACAAGAATAAAAATAAGGAAGAAAGACCTATCTTCTGACACCAAACACCACGTCAGAAACTGAGACTATAGTCTTCTTTATTGACTTACTATCCATGTAGCCTAAAGAATTTTCATTGATCTTACTGAATCTTTGTTTACTCAATGGGAAACAGGTGAAACATTTTGTGATTTATAGCACAACCACACAAATGCAAGATATTTTGATTCAACGAGTTTTAATTGAACATCTGCTACTATGGGCTAAAAATAGTACTTGTTTTCTTATTCAATACCAAAACTGTCCTCAAGAACAGTAAAAGTAGAAATATCTTCATCTTGGGGCCTGCAGGTGGCATGGTAGTTGAGAGTGCTAGACTCCCACCTGGCCAACCATGGGTCGAGTCCCATACCTGGCAGCTTCATTTCTCTCTCTCTCTCTTTTGCCCTTTCCCTTTCTGGTAAAATTTAAAAAATAAAGTTAAATAAAATAATTCTTAAAAAAAAAGAAATATCTTCATATATTTCTTACCAATGCTACTTACCGAAGTTCGCAATAAAGTCATGCTTCCCCAGATTACAATTCCAGAGGCCCCCAGAGCGACAGTTTCACCAAATGTATGCACAAGGTCAATCTGGCAAACGTGATGGAGTTAGCAGATAGAAATCAATGAGCGTCATACATAAGAGAATAACATTGAATCTAAGTATATTGACCCATAATAACTATTTAATATTTCTCCACTATTTATTTCTATCTTTAACAGTGACACTGCCCTACTACAAAACAAAACAAAACAAAACACAAACACAAACAAAAATAAAAATAGACTTGTTGCTTTCATTACTTCTATTGATAGGAAAGCAGAACTTGGTGGGGGAAAACCGAGTTAGTAAATTCTCTGTGCTACCTAATTATCCACATGTATTTAGAGTTTATATGATTGCACTAAAAATTTAACATAGTCTTATTTTTCATTAATACACTGATAGAGAATTGATGTTGTGTATATATTCCTAAATGATATTAATGGTTAAATTTCACTCCCTTCAAAAAATTATATTAAATTGCACTAAATACCATTGGTCTGCACTATTTTAGAGCTCTCATCCCAGTTACTTACCAGAGAAAGGAGTCTCACAGTTTCATCAGTGAAAACTAAGCGGGTATACACAAAAACTGGAAGTGGATCTGCAGGGTTACGTACTTTAGAAAGCCTAATGGCTTCTTGCACACGATTACGAACAAAGAATGCAGCCTTTTGAGAAGATGCTAAGTCACTTTTCAAATAAATGGATGGGAAAAGGGCAGTGCTTTCAGTCCACATCCAGGCCAGAAGATCATTTCTTTGCCTTTCTATTGGTGGGCAAGTTCCATCGTATTTGGGGTGTTTGTAATTATGGTTGTAACAATCCGGAAAAAGATAATAACCCCAGTAGTACGTGGGTTTAAGTGATCTTCCCAGTTTTAAAGTCTCTAACATGAAATTCTTTCCAGCCTCTTCAAAGTCTACTTTGGCTTTTTTAGTTGCGTCCGCAAGGTTCATCTGTGTATTTTGTCTCTGAACCAAAGCAATAGACATATTTCTGTACACATCTTTAGGCCTCCAGTTTCTGTCCCAGAGGGGCCTCCAGTTTTCCCAGTCAATGACAGCCAAGCCCACTTTGTCTGTTGGTATGTAATAGGCAATATCTTTCTTAGCTTTGTCTAAATGGTTCTGTATGGGCATGGACTGGGGGATTCCTTCATTTTCAACTGTACCCTTGATTTCATGTATATGAGGATAGAGGCCAAGTCTATCAGCATAAAATATTGTAACACTTTGGTCTATGGCATCTTTTCGAGGGCTTCCTATTAAAGAGAAGAGGCTCAAATCTAGTGGTTCATTAAAATTTCCAACACAAACTTCAGAGGGAGCATTCCAGGCCCAGAGGATAGTTTTGCTCGGAAGGATAGGCAGGGCACTGAAATTCTGAGTTAGGCAATATGGAATTAAAAGAAAGGTAAACACTGTCAGGGATGCTTTACTGGACTTGATAAAGCTACTGAGAAAGATGTGCTTGAACTGTATCACCCCCATTGCAGAGTAATAATTATGAGAACCCCTTATTTCTTCCTGCACACTTTGGTTTACACACTATTGTATGTGAGATATAGACACAGATAAAAGATGGTGGAATTAAGTCACTTTGCCGAATAAAGAGGTATAACCATTATGTTCCAATTAAACATTTTTCTTCTTTCATATTTCAGAAAGGTTTTGCAAGTTGCATTATTTATAACTGAAAAAGAAATACAGAACATATTGTTAGGCTATGTTTCTATAATAGAGATTGCAACCTTAACCAAATTCTTAATTTTTTTCTTTTCTTTTCTTTTTTATTTTATTTATTTATTTTTAACCCAGGCTGGCCTCAAACTCCTCCTGATCCTCCTGCCTTACGCTCATAGAATTATAGACAAGTGTTCCTGAGCCCATCAACTTCTCAATTTTAAAGGCAGGTAACAATTTAATTTAGGTGATAAAAGACTTAACGCTTGTATTTTAATCAATAAAGTCATGTCATTTTTAGTTATGTACAAATACTATGACAGTTAATTTTGTCTCCTTTTCATAAATCACCCCTGAGCATCCAGAGAGGTGAAAGTAGCTTATTTTTTTTTTCTTTACTTTCCCAGGGATGCAGAATACTGCACCAAGAAGGCCTTAGCAAGACCCAGTTGAATGAAAATAAATTCCACTTTGTTTCTAGACAGTCCACTTTGTATTGACCTGACAAATATTGAAAACAACTTTTCATAGAATTGCATATTTTCATCTTTCTTTCTTTTCTTCATTTTTTAAGAGGGACAGTAACACAAAGAAAAAGTCAGTTCTACTAGAGGTTACCAGTCAAAAGTTTGCTTAAAACTATTGAAGCAACCCCAAACTCCACCAAACAACAAATATTTGGAATATAGCCCAATCAAATCTTACAGTGATGTGCTTCTAGGTTTAAAGTGAATAAATTCTACTCTACACTATATATTTTTGTAAAAGGATTGATTTTAGCCTAGCTTAATAAAAGCAATATCTAAAGTTTGGCCTTTTGCGCTGTTTAATAAGTGAGATCCTGTTGTCTTTATGATGGTCAAAAAGCGAAGTGATACAGCAAATTTTGTGGTACAATAAAACTGTGTGAGCCAAGGACTAGAAATTAAATATATGGAATCTGGCTTTTGTATTTATAAAAATGACCTACAAGAAGACATATTTAAATATTCTGTGATTCTATGAGAAAACCAGAACTGTTTCTGCTGTAAGAAGGTACAATGTGAATTACACCATTTTTCACTGAAACTTGTGTCCCTATCATAGCAAATTATCCATTCATTTTCATCACTGAAAAACAAATTGAAGAGAAACCGTAATTAGAATAAAACAAAATCTTAAGAAACATTACAATCTTATGTTTTGAAAGATAATAATTTTCTCTCATGTGTAAAATATCTAAAGTAACCAAGTTTTTATAACTTAAAGTCTTATAAACTTCCCTACTTAAAATCTAGAAAACATTCACCTAAAGTTATACTTGGGAGGAAAAACCAATTCCTTTCAGATACCAACTACCAACCCAATGCCTGCATGACAAGGGTTGGGGGGAATGTCAAATAAAGAATGAGCTTTTCCCAAACTTTAGAGGAGTAGGCCAAGCTTATTGAAATTAATATTAACGTCTAATTTCTATATGATCATCTCATATAAGGAAAATATGGGTCAGAATGAGCCTGTTGAGAAGCTCTCTAGTCACAGAAATCTTTAAAACAGAAGGAACAATTTTGTCTTTGAAAATGGAATGAAGTATCACCCCTTTAGTTGACATCTCCATACAAAGCTTTTGGGTACAAAATTGGGAATAAAACTAGAATTTCCTTTTATAATAAAGACCCTCATCTTCCTAGAAAGTTTTAACTTCATGTACGTAATACCTGATCTTATCTCTCCACTAATATTCCTAAGGTTTGTACTCAATTTTACACTTACCAAGTTTGCCAGCTAAGCATCCTTCTTCCTCATAATGTGAATAATTGTTTCTTTTTTTCTTTTATTTCAGAGTGTTTGCACTCACTTGAGAGAAAGAGAGACAGAAGACAAGCATCCCCCAATAGAGCATGGTCATGCCACACTTCCACCTCCTCCATTACTCCATCCTATCAGCATTTAGAGCATGCACATATATGTGCCAGGCATATTTTTCAAGCCACAGGAGCTTAGGTTTGAACCATAGTTGGTCATGTGAGATCTACATTATGGGATTGGTCCATGAGTAATATCTTTTTCTTTTTGAGAGAGAGAGATTTTTGTTATAGGGCAAGACAAAGAGAGACAGAGACAGAAAGAGAGAAATTACCCCTCCAGGGAAGCTGGGCCATGCCTCCATCCCTTATCCTCCATTCTCCTCTTGAGATTTTGGGCTCACACGCACAGGCACCTGGTTTGAGTTTAAGCCTCCAGGTCTGAGACTCAAACAGCGGTTGACTACGTGGGAGTCCAGCAATGTAACCATTACGCCATCTGCCTGTCCTCACAGCTTAACTACTACAGTTATGGTTATGGTTATGGTTATGGTTACTCATAGACTAGTCTATGAATAATGGCTTCGTAAGTCACTTGTTATAAGTCTTCAATATCCCCTAAAATCTGACAATGGCACTTATCCAGAAACCTGACTCAAAGTCCAATCACTTAACCTTTTTTCAATAGTGTCAAGGTAAGAAGTGAGCTGGTCTCAACACTTTCCTAGAGCATTGGCAAGTCACTAATATCTTTTCTGAAAATAATAATAATAATTTCTCGCAAAATAACATCAGAAGCCTAAAATCTGAGTACATGTAAAATTCTGTTTCAATTAAGCCTTTATTCCTATTGGAAGTAAATTACATCACCAAAACACATGCTGGCTAAATTCTTTCAACTAGGACTCTGTTGTCTGAGAATGAGTTCAAACTTTGTTGTTGTTGTTGTTGTTGTTGTTAGTTTTTGCTATAGGGCATGTGCCCTCATCAGAGAGAGAGATAGAGAGAGAAGGAATGTGGGAAATCACCTCCCAGGGTAGATGGCTACGTTGCAATAATTTCTCCATTCTCTTCAAAATTTTGAGCATGCATGAACATGTGCCCAGGAAATTTTTTAAGCCACTGGGTCTGAGACTTGAACCATGCAATTGACCACATGAGATCTAGCCACCACAACCTCCACTACCTGCTGGAGCTAGTTCAAAATTATTTTATATAAATAAATTATACATTTATGTGTAGACATTCACATAATATAGCATTCACCACTATGTATTATTGAAACATCTATGAAATGAGAACATATTAAAAATAACTTTAAAACCTAAGAATAAGAATTGCTTAAATATGGTAGTTTAGAGGGTGAACTGTGGTGCAGCAGGAAAATATAATACTCTACAAGTTTGTCTCATATGGGAAAGTTCTTGGTTCAAGTATAGAGAGAGACCTCCCTGAGTACACTGGGCATACACTTACCTAGGATACACGGCTGTCTGAGGCTGGAGGTAGATCATAGTCTCAAGACCCTGCTGGAGGTATCTTCTTTTCCTCTCTCTCTGTCTCTCTCTTATTTCTCTTGTATATGGAAGAAACAAACTTCGTATAAATAAATGAGTGATATGGTAGGTCAGCCTGAGGGAATTTATTTAGATCTCAGAATTAGTTATAAAGATAATGAAGCAGGGTTGCTCCCATAGTGTAGCAGTTAAAGCTGTACAGAAGAAGCCTGATTTCACATGGTCAACCAGGGTTTGAGTTTTGGACCCAGCAGCTGAAAAACACAACCTATCCAACACACGTGCCCAGGATCTTAACAGGATGGAGAATTGGTGGAAAAAGGATTGTATCCTGAACAGATCTGAGGGGCAGTACTTTCTCTCTATCTCTCCATTTTCTCTTTATTTCTCTCTTTCAAGCACAGATGGCCTCTGACATAAACAAACAAAAAACATGATGAGACAACCCATTAAGATGTTCACCTAACATGCCAAGTGAAATAATGTACAAAAATTCATACTAAAAGTAGGGATATAAAAAAAAAAAAACATGTAAGTGACATGCTTGAAGAATGGAAGAAAATTGAGAAATATAAAAGAAGATTCATATTTTTTGAGTATCCATTATATATTTTGCTCTCCTAATTTTTGTTATCCAACTATCAGTTTGTCAAAAAACCAAAGTAGGGGAAAATTACATTTAGTGGTAGAAATTAGTTTGTCTGGACAGATTTGAAGGACAGCTTAACTTCAGGGTGGAAAGAAAAATATTCATAAGGTTTCTTATTCTTTATTCACCAGAGTACTTATACAAAGGGTCTTTTTTGTTTGTTTTCTGTTTTTTAGAGAGATTTTTGCTATAGGACACACGTGCTCACTGGAGAGAGAGAGACAGAGAGACGGAATGTGAGAAATGCCCCTCAGAGGGCTAGCCACAACACAATCTCATCTCTTCCATTCTGCTCTTGGGATTTTTGGGTCCACACGCACATGTACCCAGCATGAGTTTCAAACCACCAAGTCCAGACTCAAACTGTGACTGACTATGTGGGAGTCCAGTGACATAACCATTACACCATCTGCTGGTCCCAAGGGTTTTTGTTTTATCTTGGAGGAGAAAAGTTGGTGACTGAGATGTTTTTCTCTAAATTTTAAAAAGATATTTAATATTATTTCTTCTTATTTTAAATTTCACTAGAAAGAGACAGAGGAAGAAAGAGGAAAAGTGAGAAAACAAGCTACGAGGTCCAGGACTCAAATTGCAGTTGGCCATGTGAGAGTCTAGCACCATAACTACCACGTTACCTACTGGTCTCTTTTTTCTCAAATTTTATTGTGTGTCTTTAAGGTATACAGCATGTTATGGAAAGGTTGGGATATTTTGAAATAAGGAGAAGAGAGTCTGTAACAGAAAACCCAAACCAAAGAGCCAAACTTCTTGGCTTAATTCTTTGCTCTTCTCTTTCACAACACACACTTTATTTCCGAAATAAATGCTTTCTCTCTAGAAAATACTACTTAACAGATATAGACTGTCTTAAAAATCTACATTTAGGTATTCTCATTTTTAGGTATTCCCATCTATGTATATGTTATCTCAATGAAACTAAGAACTGAATTTAGACACAATTCTCTGATCATTAAAATTATTGTTGATTTTTGAGAAATAAAAGCAATTCAAAGTGGTCTAGAATTCAAGATCCATTCAAGTGTTTTTTTTTTTTTTTTTT